CTTTTTTCTTTTTGCTTATGTGGTGCTGTGGAATCGAACCCAGGGCCTCATGCATGCAAGGCAAGCGCTCTACCACTGAGCCACCTTCCCAGCCCTCTAGCTTTTTTCTTTGGTGGTTAATTGGAGATAAGATTCTCACAACCTTTTCTCACCAGACTGGCTTTGAACCTTGATCCTCAGATCTCAGCTTCCTGAGTAGCAAGGATTACAGGCTTGAGTCAGCAGTGCTCTGTCCTCTCTCCAATTTCAAAGCTATTTCCATAGGAGGAAAACATAGACAAGTAATACAAAGATGTGTCCATGATTATCTATACAGATTTCTGCAAACCAACTGCAGTCTGCTGGACCAAACTGTGCTTGTCCAGTTGTTCCTTTGAGAGTTGTAGGAAACCTGTAACACTGGAGTATTTGGAGGAATGAATGATTCTGGCTTTCGTTCTGGGTTTATTGGGTCCAGTGCTTGAGGTGCTGGATTCTCATCCATTGTTTTGTTGACAAAAGCCTAAAGTTTGTTTTCTCCATTTATGGCATGAATGTTTGTACTATTAAGACAGAAGAGCCTTAAAGAAACATGTAAACCATATGATCTAGAATGTAAATATACTTCAAGAGCATTAGTCAGACTCGGGACTGTATATGAATACTGGCAAAATGTAGTGGCACAGATCAGCCACCATATGCTCTGTTTTGAGAGAACCTAATCTTAACAGTAGAAAATATAAGTGGGATTACCACATCACTAAAAGCTTAGCATCTTGCAGATGTTCATGTCAGAGTTTTCTTTAATCATTTTCTTCAATGACATGGAAACCAAATCCTTTAAATCCCAGTTCATTTGGCAGAAACGCATGTTTCCGTGTCCCTCCACCCTTGTTAGATGTGTCGTCACCACCTGCTGGCCTTGCAATTCATAATTTTGAGGCATTCCAGCTTTTCCTCCTAACTCAGCATCTTGTGTGTTTCATGTTTCTGACGACTTGGCTGCTGTTTCCTCCTCTCAAAGCTGCCGCTCTTTTGGTGTCCCAGAATGCTGGGTTTAAACGGTAAGCAAATAGATGCCGCAAATCTGATCAAGCTGAGGGCCTCAAGATCTGCCTGCTGAGCTCAGTCTGTGTGGCGCTGCAAGCAGACCATCTCCGCCATATGTCATCCTTCTGCTGTCTACATCCTTTTGGAGAGCTTCCTGGGAAACGCGCTTATTAAAGATTTTCATCCTGGGATTTTGTAATTTGATTTTAATTTTAATCTAATTTCCACTAACTTAGCAAATTTATAACATACCACCCACCGGCTTTATGCTTCCCAGCGTTTGATCTGGGTTTGGGAATAGAGAATTAATTGTGGAAATGTCCCACAAAAGCAGCGATGACGTGTGAAACATTAGTAGAACTTGCACAGTTCCAAGGGGTGAGCTATTTATTGCAATAAAACCTTCAGAATTACTATAAAAAATCTCATATTCTACATGACTCTAGACATTCACACACAGTGAGACCAAAGGAAAATATTCTTAGAAGAACACAAAGACACGATGCCTATGTGCATCTGATCATATAAAATAATATTTAATGAAATGATCGCCAAGAAATGGAAACAAAAGGTTTTTTCTTGGATGCTATTTTTGTTTTGTTTTGTTTGACTTGTTTGTAAAAAAAAAAAAAAAAAAGTCCCGCCAGGCTCCGGTGGCTCACGCCTGTAATCCTAACTACTCAGGAGGCTGAGATCTGAGGATTGCAGCTCAAAGCCAGCCCGGGCAGGAAAGACGGTGAGACTCCTATCTCCAATAAACCACCAGAAAACCGGAAGTGGCGCTGTGGCTCAAATGGTAGAGCGCTTAGCCTTGAGCTGAAGAGCTAAGGGACAGTGCCCAGGCCCAGAGTTCAAGCCCCATGACCGACAAAAAAAAAATCATAATGATGTTATTTTGATAAAAGTTCCAAAGTATCTGTCGGTAAAGTATTCGAAAGAGAAATGTGAACACAAATCTCAAGGAAAATTGTGGCTTCTTTCATTTATATTCTTAATTCCTCTCTATTAATTAATTAATTAATTAATTAATTAATTCCTCTGAGAATGTGTCATATCTTGACAAATGTGATATATTCACAGTCCAAAGAGATTTTTGTTTAATTCAAATGATAAGACCTAAAACTTCTCACAAGAATGGACTTGAGATGGAAAGAAATCGAAGTACTATTTTGTATTATTTCTTGACTAATAACATTAGTCATTTGAAATTGTACATTTGAGATGACAATGAAGTGGAGAATTCACAATTATACTCTTGAAAATGGAGCCAGAGAGGGATGAGGAACTTTGATATATGTAGAGGATTGAAAGGCACATACTTGATGGAAAGAAATTCTCTCAGAGCTACTCCAAGACCTCATGATCTTTTAATGAATCAATGGATTGATGAATGCACAGAAAGTCAAATATTAGTGGAAAGAATAAGTCAAAGGGATAAAGTATTGTCATTTTGCCATCTTGTCCTCTTGTGACTGAGATGCTTCCTAAAATACTCAGTTACAGTGGATTTTTGATGAGCTCTGCCCAGTAATAAAATTAATGTTAAAAAGATTGAAGTGAAAGCTACTCTTGAGATTCAGTACACCCTCTGCCTGAAGCATGTCTGAATTAGACAAGTCCCTCTTTCCCTGATTGTGGCAGTGTGTCAGTGGACAAATCTATTATATTAGAATACAGCCTGATTTCATACTGGTTGACTCTATATAATCTCAGACACCCAATTCTCTTCCCATGAAGTATAAATGTAATCCAAACTTCCGTGAATGATGTACATATTAAAATTAAGTCAAAGCAGGAAATATAAACAAAGACTTTGCTCATAATATAAACTTAATAAATACTGGCATCTGCATATATGGTACAATCCAGTTGACAAAAGAAACATAAAATGGGATAAAATTCACTTCGATCTTTTGACAGGCTCTGATTTCAAACAGAAGCTTGGTGTGGTTGTTGTGAGATTTTATTCAAATGAAAGAGTTCTCTCTGTGCAACAAATCTACTCCAACAAGTGACTGGACTTTGAGTTCTGTGAATGAACAAATTGTTTCTCTACTTTTAAGCTACTTTGAACTGGGCATATGCCACCTATAATCAAAAGAAAAGACACTTTTACTGGATGGTACCTAAGAATCCTTCCAGTAACAAACTTCTATAGTTCTGTGGGCACGGAAATCTATCATGTATGTATGTGTGTATATATGTGTGCATAATATATATGTATATGTGTGTGTGCATATATATACTGAGTTATGTATGAGTTAAATTCAAATAAGTGTTCATCAAGCATATAGTGCTTTGAACCAAAATGCCACTAGAAACAGGCATGTCAAAATAAATAAAACATGATTTATTCTCAAGGAATTTGCCATAGTTCAAGAAGCTTTTAATGAGGTTCCTGTATATATGTGTATATACACATACATCTGAATTCTCTACTAATAACATGGCTGAATTCTCATGATTTTTCCTGTTCAGGCATTAGTGGTTCACACATAATCCTAGCTACCCAGGAGACTGAGATCTGACATTTGCAATTCAAAACCTAGCCGGGCACAAAAATTCTCAAGACTCCTTATCTCCAATTAGTCAGCAAAATGCCGGAAGTACCAGCTGGGTTTGAACAAACTGTGAGAGCAAAAGGCCCTGAGTTTAACTTTCTCTTGAAGTATAACATGTAGAAAAATAAAAGCACAGAAATCAAGTATGTAGCTGATGGATTATCAAACATTTCTTCATCTCATTTGTGTACATGTTTGGCTTATGAAGCTTCTTTTTATCTATGGAAACCTTTTTTTTTTTTTTTTTGGTCTGGTCGTGGGGCTTGAACACTGGGCCTGGGCCCTGTCCCTCAGTTCTTCAGCTCAAGGCGAGCTCTCTACCACTACAGTGCCACTTGAGCTACAGTGCCACTTCCAGCCTTTTCTGCTTATGTGGTGCTGAGGAATGGAACCCAGGGCCTCATGCATGCAAGGCAAGCACTCTACCACGGAGCCACCTTCCTAGTCCTGAAAATTCTTTTTTAATGAATACTTCATTAATCTTTTCTATAGCTGGTACTCAAACCTTTTAGGATTCTAGTACAGAATAAGAATTTGTATCAGTGTACCAGTGGCTCATGCCTGTAATCCCTGCTACTTGGGAAGCCCAGGCAGAAAAATAAGTCAGACTCTTTATTTCTAATTAGCCACCAAAAAATAATGCCCAAATATGGAAATGGAGTTGTAGCTCAAGGAGTAGAGCACTATCATTGAGAGAAAAAGGTAAGGGGCAGTGCCCAGGCCCTGAGTTCGTGGCTTAGTACCAGCACACATGCACATGTACACAAATGGTTTCTAACTTGGTTTTAATGGATTATATGTATACTAGATCCCAATTGGGTTTCAGAGTCAGAAGGTTTGGGACTAAAATTCTAGCTCCTCTTCTCCCTTAATTACTTGCTGAAGGACTCTGGACTGTTTTTGTTCTTGTTTTGTTTTTTACTTCTATCATTTGTATATTCTCTAGAACATAACACAGACAACTTGTTTACCAAGTTATAGGATAAAATGAGCTAGTATTAGTAAAGTGCTTACAGCATGTAAAGAACATTTGGCTCTTAGGAGCTACAGTACTCCATTAGTAGCAGGGTAAGGATCATCTTCTCACCCTTTGTGATGAGGGTGAGGCTCTGTGATGCCAGGCTACAGGAGAACTCTAGAGGGTGAACACTGGACAGCCTAAACCATCATCTAGAATGTAAATGTGGAATGGAGAACTCTCCTGCCCACACTCCAAGTCACAGTGGGGCAGGTGTGAGGATTCCTGGTGGATGAAGCAGTAGGGAGCTGTTCATTCTCAAGTACATATACATGTAGCCATTCTTATTGGTGGGCATGTGTATGAATATGCAAATGTGACACTTCTTATTTAGACTGAACATCTGCTGTTCCCCTTAGGATGGAGACAGCCAGGGAAGGGAAGAAAGACTTTTTTTGTCATGTGAATGGGGTAGCAGGTGGCCTTTTATTCCTCTGCCTTTCCCAGCCCAACTCACTAAACCTTCCATTCCAGGAGCTTAAAAATTGAACTGCTCCCTCACCAACTTTAAGACACAAGAAGGAGTACTCAGATGTTGTCAGAATGTGCCTGGTCTCTCTGTAGAGTTTGTATCATACTCTTTGATTGACAAAGGGCTGCCCATAAAAATATCTGGAGAAGAACTATGAGTGTTAGTTATTGTTTGAATCGTCAATGTCCTCAAATGGCTCAAGTGTTAAATCTGGGTACGGGGGTTGACATCAGTATTCAGAGGTGGGGTTTTAGGATTGAAATGGATTATGAGGCCTCTGAACTTATCAAAATGGATTAATCCAATGGTGTGCTCAAAACTTAATGGGATATTGAGAAGTGGTGGAAATTTTAGGAGATATGAGAAAGTGTGTTTTGTTGGTGGAAATTTTAGGAGATATGAGAAAGTGTGTTTTGTCCCTGCACCCTGGTCCTCTCTCTGTGTCTCATTTGCTCTCTCTCCTTCCCAGATGCCATGGTGTGAGAGATGGGCTTCACCATGACCTTCAACTCTGATGTTCTGCCTTACCACAGGCCTAGAGACAAGACAACAGCTGACTGTGGACCAAAACTATGAGGCAAAAGTCATCTTTCCTCCATCAAGTTGATATTTTCTCAGATGCTTGTCACAGTTGTGGAAAACTCACATAGTGAGTGACAGTGGTTTAGATTTTTTTATGATTTAATTTTTTTAACATTTATTTAAGTGACATTTGGGCTCTATGGATATGTTGCTGGAATGATTGTGTGGGGATCTGTTACACTGATTCAATTACACAAAGGAAACCCACAAATCATACAATCATCTGCTTTGTTTCCTCTGTCCAGCAACAATCTCTGTCCACTCATCCCCTCCCTGGAGCCTGTCTCTTCTCTCAACTCCTTAGTCTGGTGGTTGCTATGGAAACCACCAAAGTAGTAGAGTGTGATATTTATCCATCCTTAATTCTCTCTAAATGCATACACACACTTACATTCACGCCCTCCCCCCACACACATACACATACATTGATAAAAACTGAGTGGACACTTAAGATGAGCCACCCAAAGATTTTCTATAAGAATCTAGAAACAATTAAGACCCACAACTCAATATGCTTACTACTTAAAATAACAAGTTACTGTCCATAGATATTTTCTGCCACTTTAGGTGAGGAATGAAAGATGGCAAGGCTAAGATGGGAGAGGCTACACAGAGAAAAGAAAAAGTAAGAAATGGAAATAAAAAACAGGAGACTTTGAGAACCTGATAATAAAATCCTTGAGATCCAGGGTGTGTGTGTGTGTGTGTGTGTGTGTGTGTGTGTGTGTGTGTGTGAACATGAGCACACGTGTTTATTTGATCTCACTAGGTGATTGGAATCTCTCCCCTCCACCCCAAACACACATTTTTATTGTGGTATTCAAATAGTACTTCTATTGGTAATAGTCATCACGGATCATACCAGGATTCCTATGTTAGTTTTTTGTTTTTTTGCCAATGCTCCACACTATCTTTTACCCTATAATAAGAATTTGAAGAGAACCAGTGTGTAGTTTGTGATGGGATGAAGGTAAGTAACTTCTTTTCCTTGTATTATAAAACTTTCAGAACTATAATACCTTCTTTGAAGCAGAGGTCTACAAGCAGGAGAAGCAAGATTAGAAGGAACATAAATTTAGAGGCCAGTGGAGTCTAGTAGAGTCAGATTTCACTGAGATTTTCTTTTTGTCTAAGGAGGAAGGCAAAGGGATAAGACTGAAAATAAGACAGAGAATGAAGCAATAAATCTAGGCTATCACAAAGAAGGAAAAGCACTAGAAACTATTTTGCTGCAGTCAGAGGAAGTGCTCATTGTGAACATGTGCAATCAGTCCATCCATAATCTTCATTTATTGAAAACTATGAATATAGACACACTACTTGGTTCTTGAAATACTGAAGTGTAATCTCTTCTTTCAAGGTGCTGTTTGCCAGTCACTTCAGAATTTACCAAAGGCACCAGCAGGTGTGAAGTTTCCGAACATAAAACTGACCAAATACCAGCACTATTTCTAGCCTAGTATCGACTGAGCTTTTCTGATATTGTCTTAGCATCATAAAAAATCTATATTAGGGAAAACAGTTTACTCCAGACATTTTAGGAAGTACATTTTGCTTCATAAAGGCAAGAAAGCTAGAAAATAAAATCATTACATATATACATATATAAATTGCATCTTGAAGGGCTTATATATCAATCGATCATATCAGCTTTCCTTGTTATCTGGGGCCATATGTATATATGTATATATGTGTGTGCATGTGCGTGTGCGTGTGTGTGTGTGTGTGTGTGTGTGTGTATGTATTATAAGCCCTTCAGCATGCAATTTTCCAAGGTGCACTATTAATTATGTTCTCTAATTACACTAGACTGTGCTAGCAAGCACACACATACAGGTGACTGATGAGAAACTAAGACACTGGATGGTCAGATAGGATTTTTTAAATTTTTTTTTTTTTGTCTGTCCTAGGGCTTGAACTTAGGTGCTGTCCCTGAGTTCTTTTGCTCAAGCTAGTGTTCTACCACTGTGAGCCACAGCACTACTAGCTTTCTGGTGATTAATTGGATATAAGAGTCTCATAGACTTTCCTGCCGGGGCTGGTTTTGAACCATGAAACTCAGATTTCAGCTTCCCAAGTAGCTAGGATTATAGGTATGAGCCGCAAATGCCCTACATTGGTAAATCATTTTTAAGAAAACTGCTTCCCAGTTTTATTTTAGATTGAAACAGGGACTAAAAGCAAATCATTTCTTTGGAAGGGACCCTTTTTCAATACATTTTGAACTGAGTTAAATTGTAGTATAGCCACACAGCTAGCATGAGCTGTTGGGAAACCAAAGATTTTTACTTACACAATCTAGTCAGTCAGTCTTGTTTTTGGCTAAGGAAGAAAGCATGGAGTTGGAACTCATAGACTCAGCACAATTTAATTATCCAATAAATTGTCCAGTGCCAGGGAGTGCAACCCAGCTCAATAGTGCATGGGAATTAGATGCTTTTTCCAATGATAAGTGCATTTGAGTGAGGGGCCACCTTCTTAAAATATAAAATTAGAGCTCAAGATTCACCTCAGTATATTAAAGACTCAAGATCTAGATCCAGATAGAAATAGGCATTTCTGTTGAGAAGCTACTAAGGCTGATGAGTGAAAATGAGAAATTCCATCCTGTCCTCACAGTTTACCATAAGAGGAACTTACTTGGTCCTTGTAGCTTACCCTAAGAGGAACAGATCAATGTGCTAGACTTCAATGAAGTATTCTATAACCATCCATGGACTGCTTTACTTGACCTTAGACTTCTCCACATTTAAATTTATTTCACCCCCTCCAAATTTGTAGTTTCATGCCAGTCAATAAAAGTAGTAGAAAAAAAGACCAGAATGAATGAATGGTTAATGGTACTGCTTCTATCCTTTCCATTTTCTATAGAAAATGGGGTATTTGCTTAGAGTTGAAGACAGATCTTTTATTTTACCACATTTTACTATACCAGACCACCCAGAGAAGTTACATTATTCATATTGTAAGCCATGTTTCTCTAATACAGTTTAAATTTCTTACAGAGTAGTTGAAAAACTCTTGTCCTGAACTTAGACAGGAAAAATAACTGTTATTCAATTTATCAGCTTCCCCCCCCCCACTTTTCAAACACTACTTATTGATCGACACTCTTTGGCTTTGTTATTTCTGAGGGTTATAATTTTAAATTCTCTTTTCATTTTAGACTTTACTATTCAAGTAGGCTGAAGTTTTCAGGTTTTTCTTTATTTTATTAAAATCTTATATAGTTTTTAGGTTTTGAAGAAACCTTTCATCATTAAGTTATTCACATATTAA